ATAACCTTTTGATTAACGTGGTTTGATCTTAATTGAGTGAACACTAAGTGTCTAGATGTATTATACTCGAAAATTTTAAAAAGATTTAAAATATAATATTAAAATTGATATTTGTACGAAAGCTCTCATAAATATATATTCATGCAATTATTAGCAGGTTTGATCTTATCGTCTATTCATATGGTTGTAATATGGTTTTATTTAATTTAAGATTCTTTGCTTTATTTTCAGCTAAAGAAATTTTAATGAACTTGAATGCTCACATATAATAGGAATCTTGCTTTTATAATCAAAATCATATTTACACTTTTTCTATTACACAGACATTTAATTAAGGAAAAAAAAATTTATCATTTAAAAAAAAATAACTGTGTCATTTTAAATGAAATAATGTTATTTTGATATATATTTAAAGATTTTTTAATTCTCTTTCCTCCACTTTATTTGTTCCAAATTTTATGGAGGGAGGAGAATATAAAAAACTCCAAATATATACCAAAATGGCATCGTTTCCAGACATTGTAAGGACCAGTCGATTTGGACAAATTCCAGCATATGTCTTGTTGCACCAAAAATATATGCTTAGTGAACATGAAAAAAAAAATTAGCTTTTTTTTTTCTTTTTCATTTTCATTTTCATGCCTATAGATTGAATGTTGAATCATCTCAACTCGAAAATAATTTAGGAATTTTTTAACTATCAGAGTTGTTTAAAAAAATTCATGATCAATTTATACAACCTTATTGGTATCACATTTGAGACATTGTACAAACAATTCAGTTCTACTATAATTTCCATCTTTGACTATTTTGTTATGCAAATGCGAATGTTTTCTTGCACATTGAAATTCGAAACAGAAACTTATTCTAATTTTTTTACCTTTCTTTTATTTTTTTAGTACCTTCTTTGGCAAATTATTATTATTTTTAACTCAAAATAAATGTTGTTCATTCTCTTTCACAAGTAATAACTTATTTCTTTATTTACAAAAAAAAAAAAAAAAAAACTTATTTCTTTCAAAATTTAACTTTGTATTGCTTTTTAGTTTGTTTATTATTTGCAATACAATATATATATATATATATATATATATATATATATATATATATATATATATATATATGGGTTTAGTGGATGTACATTAACTGCACCGAATGATTGGTGCGGTCAACTATGTACTTCCAGAAATACATGGTTAAAATAAATATTATAACTATGTACTCCCGAAAATACATCAGAGAAGAACGGTGTATTCTGATATACTTTTGGGAGTACATAGTGAACCGCACTAATCTTTAAGCGTAGTCACTTTACAATTTTTTTCATATATATATATATATATATATATATATATATATATATATATATATATATATTCTTAAAACGTGTATTTTTAACAGTGGGATACATAATTCAGAAATATGTATATCAGGAGTTAAATTGTAATTCTTATTACTGATAACTTTAAGAGTAATTAATGTTATTTGTAACTCTAATTGTTTTCATTTATTACTAGCCGTTATAGGTTTTAAAACTATCCTCAATCAAAATCAAAAGATATTTACCAAAATTTTGTAAAAGATAAATAGAAATAATATAAATTAAATTCATGGTCAATGAAAGAGAATGTCTATGTTATCCTTTAAAAATATATTGCTATATTGGAGTTTGACTATAATAACAAAAAAGAGAAGTTATACATATATCTTCAATAAAAAAATATTTCTTTTTTGTTATACATATATCACTTCAATAATATAATTTATTATTGTCTCATATTAATATTAACAATATTTTAAGATTGTACAAAAGATTATAACATCATGTATCAAATTGATTCTATATCTTCAACATTAATTATTTGATACTTTTTTTTTTCAAAACTTAAATTTAATTTTCCAAATCTCATTTCTATTTATTTTTCAAACATGATAACACGATGTCCCTGGTCGTTGATTTTTGCCGTTACTGTTTGGTTAGCTGTGCAGATTGGCTTTCTAAATATTCTTTAGACTACTATCATGTTGAGAATAACTTTTGTGTTTTTTTTCAAACTCTCCTCCTGGTATTTGACCTTTGTATTGGGCTGATTTGTCTTTGTCTTGTAATTTCATAACGATTTTATTGAATTGATCTCTTTGGAGTGTTATTTTTAACCCCCTTATATTACCCAAAAAAAAGTTACATTTGCCTCTCAGCTATGATACACTGACACGGGACACGACACGACACGCCGACACGTTAATTCTAAAAAATGGCATATTTCGACAAGTTGAGACACGTTTTGATATTAAATAATATTTTTAATATATATAATATAATTTATATTTAATAGATATAACAGTCCATAATAAGTTATATAATCCATCAAATATTCAAATTTCATAACAAAAATATAAACAAAAATAATTTTTCATACCTTGTTAATTTTTCATGCCAAATTTCATAACAGAAAAAAATTGATTTATAAATGATTTTTTTTTATTTTTAGTTAATAAAATAAAATTAAGACTAAAAAAAAATTGTCCGAGTGTTGATCACGTGTCAGAAAAATGTGTCGGAGCGTGTCGAAAAGTTAACCACGTGTCATAAAATATTGACCACGTGTCGGACGCGTGTCAGAGCATGTCGAACACGTTCCGACACGAACACGTGCCCGACACGCACCATACATATCCGACACGCACAATTCAAAAAAAAAAAAAAAAAAGCAACTCCGTGTTTCATAGCCTATCAGCATGGTTTTGAACCAGTATATTGAACTTCTCTTCTGGCCGAATTTCTGGTTCCACCTCAATATTATTATGCATAATTATTTGCTACTATCATTCCTACCAAATAAGAAAGTACCTCCTTGAAGGTACCTTCAATTTCTGCAATTACGGATTCTTCTCCTATCACAGTGCTATATAAACATTAGATTATAAATTTCTAATATTCATCTATTCTAATTGCATTCTTTATGATGTATTAATTCAAAGGCAGTAAATTATTATTTATTTTTTTGGTATCCTGGTAGTAAAATTTGTTTTACTTGTAATTGATTAAAGTTTAACTTAAAATTAGTCAAATAATATAAAATGACACATACTAAATAATTTTGTTTCCATATGAGAATCTATAAGATATTTTTAATACAAATATAAATAGTAAAACTCATTTTATGAGTAATTAAATGTAAAGCTTGACTTGAATACATATTAAATAAACAATATTAATATTTCATCATATAACTTTTAAGGGTTCGTTTTTTCTACAGTTACTGTAGATAAGTTATTTGCCGTATATTCAATACGACATCATTTTGGAGCGAAAATCATGATATTTTTATAATTTTAATTTATTTCGAAGTTATTATAGTCTTAATAACTATAATTTTTTAATTTTTCAATCTCAAAATAACATCGTTTTGAGAATAAATACAGATAACTTATTTACAATGCAGAAATATTTTTATGACACACAAATAATGTTACGCACAATGTTACGACCACATTTTAACCGTTGATTTCCGCCAATCAACGGTTATCATTTATTGCGAATTAATAATTAATTAATGAGTTTGATAAATTGGGATAGGATATTGTGACACACAAATAATGTTACGCACAATGTTACGACCATATCTTAACCGTTGACGGTTATCATTTTTCAAATCAAACTCATTAATTAATTATTAATTCGCAATAAATGATAACCGTTGATTGGCGGAAATCAACAGTTAAGATGTGATCGTAACATTGTGCGTAACATTATTTGTGTGTCAGAATATCCTATCCCTTTAAAATATTATTATTATAGTTGATTATTGAATGCCCTTAGCTTTTGGTGTTAAACAAAGTTTCTCAATCTTTATTACCATAATCTGCATGCACCATTGATCATTGGGTAAAATTTGAAAACTAAGTTACAAACACAAACACACGTACACGTTGATCCCAATCCTTAACTGCTCCAAGGTAATCCCAACGTTTGACTTTCGGCACACAAACAACACAACGTAGTGTGGACTAGGAATGGAAAATGAAGAGAGAGAGAGTCATAACTCGCTTGAACAATGAACATAAATGATGATGATGAGAGAGAGGGAGTGCAAAAACAAAAGTTAAGGCTGTAACTGTCATTTCAGCCACGTGCCGCCGATGAACGGTGGCGCAACCGGTTGACGACCAAAAACCGGGCAACCTCATTTAAGGCTCAATGGGGGTGGTGGCTGTACCACTCTACCATCTTTAGAGAGAGAAAATAAAAATCTAAGAGAGAGAGAAAGAGACCCTCGAATGGAGTGAGAGTAGATAACCTTAAAGTCCCTTCCTTTTTTTCTTTCTTTCTATCTATCTCCGCGTTCTCTCTTTAAAAGCTCTTCCATCAGTTACGTTTTCTTTTTCACCCTGTGACGCAATATTATATATAAATTTAAATGTGTTCATTCATTCACAGCACATAAGGTGCAATATAGAGAGAGAAAGAGTGAAGAGAGTGTGGAGTGTGGTGTGGTGTTGTTTTTGGTGTGACTTGGTGAGTGGCTGGATTTTTTCTTCGTTGATTAGAATTAGACCATCTTTCTATTCATCCACATAAGATTTACCATATCTCTCTCTCTCTCTCATTATCTCAAATCATGCTGCTATCTTTGATGTCATATCCGTTTCAAAATATGTAATAATAATAATATTTTGTTACTGTTTTTGTTGCTCTCATATCTGCTGAATCAGTATATATTTGATATTTAACGCTCATAGGGGAAAAAAAAAACATGCTTTATTTTTCCATGGTCATTTAAAAATCTCATTCATTTCAGCACCAAAGTTCCAAAGTTCTCTTCTTTTTTCCATACCCACCATCCAAAAGTCTCTTTGCTTCTCCTTGTTTATTTGGCTTTGTTTTATTGTGTGTGTGTGTGTTTCTCTCTCTCTCTCTCTCTCTTCTCAATGGTTTTGATGTCACTGTACATGACCAGGGGTAGAAGGTGCTGGTGGTGGTGATCTGAGAGAGACTAATGGAGTACGGAAGTGGAGGAAGTGGGTCCCCTGGGGACCACCTTCATCACCATGATGGTTCTGATTCCCAGAAGAGGAAGAAGCGCTACCATCGTCACACTGCTAATCAGATTCAGAGGCTTGAATCGTAAGGGCCATTCTTATTATTATTATTATTATTCAATTCCATTCATGCTTTTGGTCTTTTCATTTCTTGTTTTATGTATTTTTTTTAATATATTTATGAACACTTCAAAAAAAAAATTCTTTGCTTTTGCACTCTTCTTCATTTGATTACCATGTGTGTTTTTGTTTTATTTGTGTGTTGGTGATCTTGTCCTTTTCAGGATCTTCAAGGAGTGTCCTCATCCAGATGAGAAGCAAAGGTTACAATTAAGCAGGGAGTTAGCCTTGGCTCCTAGGCAGATCAAATTCTGGTTCCAGAACAGGAGGACCCAGATGAAGGTACTGTTTGTTATTTTCCTCAAAAAGGGATTTTTTTAGTCTAGGAAGTGTAGTGTTGTGTCTGTTTATATCTTTTTTATGTTTATCTTTGGGAGAATTTGTCACTTCATCAGTTCTTAGTTCTTTTGGGTTAAACAATTCAGGCCCAGCATGAAAGAGCAGATAATTGTGCACTAAGGGCAGAGAATGACAAGATAAGGTGTGAGAACATAGCCATAAGGGAGGCCCTGAAGAATGTTATCTGCCCCTCTTGTGGTGGTCCTCCTCTCAATGAGGATTCTTATTTTGACGAGCAAAAATTGAGATTGGAGAATGCACAACTCAAAGAGGAGGTAAACTTCTATCAATGAATAACAAGTAATTCAAAATCTTTCTCATTCATTCCTTCTCTTTGTTTGTTTGTTTATGATTCGTGTCTATTGAAATTGTGTTTGTAGCTTGATAGAGTGTCTAGCGTTGCAGCCAAGTACATTGGAAGACCAATTACTCAACTCCCACCAGTTCAACCTATTCATATATCATCTCTAGACTTGTCAATGGGGAGTTTTGGGAACCAAGGGTTGGGTAGCCTTTCACTTGATCTTGATCTTCTCCCAGGGAGTTCTTCATCCATTCCAAATGTGCCTTACCAACCTGCTGGTCTTTCAGACATGGATAAGTCTCTCATGTCAGACATTGCTTCAAATGCAATGGAAGAATTAATCAGTCTCTCGCAGACAAATGATCCCTTGTGGATGAAGTCAAGCACTGATGGGAGAGATGTCCTTAATTTTGAAACCTATGAAAGAATGTTCCCAAAGCCAAATTGTCAATTGAAGAACCCCAATGTTCGCATTGAAGCTTCCAGAGACACAGGAGTTGTAATCATGAATGGCTTAACTTTGGTTGACATGTTTATGGATCCAGTAAGAAGTTCTAATTATATTTTTTATTTTATTTTTTCTATTTTTAGTTCTAGATTGGAAACAATTGACACCTTCAATTTAATTCTTTCAATTGTTCAAATATCATGCTTGATTTTGCAGAACAAGTGGATGGAGCTATTTTCCACTATTGTCACAACAGCAAGAACTATTGAAGTTATATCTTCTGGAATGATGGGTGGTCATGGTGGTTCTTTGCAATTGGTATAATAATTTTCTTTCAACTTTCGTGCTGAGTTTTCCTTCCACTTGGAAATTTTCTTAATGCAAATTTTTTTAATTCAGATGTATGAAGAGTTGCAAGTGCTTTCTCCACTTGTTTCTACTCGAGAATTCTACTTCCTGCGTTACTGTCACCAAATTGAGCAAGGTTTATGGGCAATAGTAGATGTTTCATATGAATTTCCCCGAGATAACCAATTTGCTCCTCAATTTCGATCTCACCGTCTTCCTTCTGGTTGCGTTATCCAAGACTTGCCTAATGGATATTCCCAGGTAACCTTAACACTATCATCTGCTGTGTTGGCTACTTTGATTGATACATATAACATACACACTGTTTTATTCACTCTTCTAAGTTATCATGCAGGTTACTTGGATTGAACATGTAGAGATTGAAGATAAAACTCCAGTTCATCGGCTTTATAGAAATCTTATTTATAGTGGTTTTGCATTTGGAGCACAAAGATGGCTTACTACCCTTCAGAGGATGTGTGAAAGAATTGCTTGTCTAATGATGACAGGCAATTCTACCCGGGATCTTGGAGGAGGTATATATCATTGCACCATACCATCACTCTGACATGTTTAATTTTCTTGCCTTTGATCTGAACTAGTGTTTTATATTCAAAAATTTCAGTAATTCCATCTCCTGAGGGCAAGAGAAGCATCATGAAACTTGCACAAAGGATGGTCAACAATTTCTGTGCAAGCATTAGTGCATCACCTGCACATAGATGGACCACACTCTCAGGGTTGAATGAGATTGGAGTTAGAGTCACTGTCCATAAGAGCTCAGATGCTGGCCAACCTAATGGTGTGGTGCTAAGTGCAGCCACTACCATTTGGCTCCCACTCCCTCCACAAACTGTGTTCAATTTCTTCAAGGATGAAAGAAAAAGACCTCAGGTTGGTTGTGATATCCTTAACTTAATTAAACCTTTTTCATGTTGTGTTGTGTAGTCTAGGAATGGTTTTAACATTGTTTTATTGATTTGCTTTTCCCTTTTTAAGTGGGATGTTCTTTCCAATGGTAATGCTGTGTCAGAGGTTGCTCATATAGCAAATGGTTCACACCCTGGTAACTGCATTTCTGTGCTCAGAGTAAGAAACCCTTTTCTTTTTCCTCTATGGTCTTATTTGAAGTTTTATTTGTGATATTTTTTTCAATTTACAATTTCTACCTTGTTCATTTGCATAGGCTTTAAACACAAGTCAGAACAACATGTTGATACTCCAAGAGAGCTGCATTGATTCATCAGGTTCCCTTGTGGTGTATTGTCCTGTTGATCTTCCAGCAATGCACATAGCAATGAGTGGTGAAGACCCTTCATACATTCCTTTACTACCATCTGGTTTCACAATTTCATCTGATGGCCAAAATGATCAAGGAGATGGAGCATCAACAAGTTCAAACACAAACATGAACATGGGGAGGCCAGGGGGGTCACTCATAACTGTTGCCTTCCAAATTCTAGTTAGTAGCTTGCCATCTGCAAAGATTAACATGGATTCGGTGGCAACTGTTAATGGCCTTATTGGAAACACTGTCCAGCAAATAAAAGCTGCTTTGAATTGTCCTAGTTCCTGATGAAAACCCTGCCTTGTGTTAAGTTTCTTTTACTCTTCCCTTCTTTCACATCCTTAAATATGCTTATCAGAAATGGTTCAGAACTGAGTCTATTTGTGCTGGTGGTATAATCAATGTGTGGGAGGAGAAGTGTTTTTGGTTAGTTGAGGACTTCAATGCCCTCTCATCAAGAGCACAAGCCTCATTATTTACTGCTGCTGCTACTGGTAGAGCTGTTTTTTGCTTCAAAGGTTCAAGGCTTCATTACATTTCACACCAACTACCAATAATTTTCATTTTCATTTTATTGTTTATTTTGGGTTTGTGGGTATGGTCTTTTGTATTTTTTTTTTCTTCTCCTTTGTTTGTTTGCTTTATTTTGCACATTAGCTTTGGAACAAAAGAGTAATAGTAGTTGATGTCTTAGAAGAGGGAGTCAAGAACGAACCATGAAAAATTGTTATATGGTTCGGGCATTGACTTCCTGTGCACGAGACTTCTTATTACATTTCATAAATTGTTGTTCCAACTTTTTTGTTGTAATAAGTACTTATAATAACTCTTACTTTCTTTTCTTTACAAAGAAAAATTTGAATGATGGTAAAAAAGAGAGGAAAAAAAAAGGAGATAGTGGTACAATGCATCTTCTTTCAATGAAGAGTTAATTATAGGGTCGTATTTCGAGAATAAAGTGACCGAAGAAAATTGTGTGCGATTTCCTTTACATTATTTATCAAAAAACAAAAAATGTGCATGCCATAAGAAGTTGGTAGGGGATTTATACAAGTGGGTGTGGGGGCAGGCAGATTTGACAGTTTGGATACTTTTTGTGGCTTGACATCATTAATGGGCTCCATGCATTTTCAATTGAGTAATGGAACTTTGAAGAAAAGATGAAAATTTTCTGCATTTGGGTTGACAACTTTACGTGCACTCGGGATAAATGAAACAACATATCCATTAACTTTCATTCAATGCATAAATTTTTGCACTCGTTTAATACATATAATTACAGATTTTCAATTTCATATTCATCAACGTTGCTTAAGTTAAATATGGTTTAAGAAATGTTTTTATTTTTACTTTTTTTTGTTTTTGCTATTTGGTTCTATTTTACGAAGGATTAACATTGTGCATGTGGTAAATTGATCACTAGATTTTCACTTTGTTACGTGAAATTTTTTTATGTATCTCTATAAAAAAATTAAAAGAAAATATCAATTTCCTTGAACGACTCAAAGTACGTTTGAGCAGAATTGAAGTAACAGAGTGGTACTTTTGTCCAGTAACATTTTTATTTCTGCTCTAAATGATGGATGTTAAAGCTTGGTGTGATTTTTTTTTTAATTTTATTCTTACTTTATATCATTTAAATATATTTTGTGTTTATTAAATACTTTGTTGATGAAAAATGATTTTATGTAACGTTTTACAATAATTTATTTTCTACACAGCTACTTAGGAGTAATCATTTAATTCAATCTTTTAAAATTCTGATTATATTAGCTGGTTCAAACAAATTAGATTCTGAGATTGTAACGTTGATCTGATTTTATTAATTTGTTTTGAGCTCAGTTAAATCGTTAACTTAATCGATTGAATCAACCAAATTATGAATTAAAAATCTCGATATTTTGATTCCTATTTTAGATTTGAAAATATTACTTTAACGTCGATTATATTTATAAGATAAATTATTAATTGAACTAAATAATTATAAACGTGGCTGTGCCAATAGAACTATTTGCGTACGTGTGTAAAATATTTGTCCTTTGCTGTTCTAGATTTAAAGCTTCTTATTAACAAATAAATTTGATGTAGTATAATTAAATCTAAGTCAGCTTGAAGAACAAAAATAATTTCAAGTTTCAAGCCTCAAAAAGAAGAAATCGAAGAAATGGTACAAGGTTATGGGAATGTAAAAACAATACATTTCAAGAGTACGAGTTCATTCATGACGCTATTGCACCAATTGCAAAATAGGGTTGTTGACATTTCTCTTCTTATAAAACAAAGTCGTACTAGAAATCAATGTTCATGTCCCCTTCTTGCATTTGCTTGTAACACACAAAGTTACTTGATCCTTCGCAGCAACTGCACATTTTTGTGGGTTTGTCCAATGGCTTTGTGAGAAGAAAATGGTAATAGAAACATTTATTAAAAGAAGGGAAAAGTTATTTAAAATTTGAATTTTAAATTAAAAAAATCACTCACTTTCTCTCTCCCATGATTTCCGTTTTTCCGTGTTCATCTATGTCATTTAAAATGACAAACACCAAACCCATGACTCGTAATTTTTTCTCCTTTCACAAAACAACTATTAGCATGGGCCGCAATTGCTATAATTTAAGAGTCAATTATGGAAATTAATTGTCTCATATCTCTTCTTAACATGATGAGGATGGTCATAATTTTAATGATAAAATGAAGAGGAGAAAATAATTATATCAATTATTGGCCGTTGATTTGTAATTGCTATAATTCAGGAATTAGTCTTTATTTCTATAATTGAGGGATTGGTCATGAACTATAAATGCTATAATTTAAATGTCAATCATCACACATAATTGCTATAATTTAGGAATCAGAGTCAATAATTACTATAATTTCGGAGCGGGCTTAAGAGTAAGTAAATATACTTCTTATTTTAACCAATTATATGTGTTTTACACGTGTATTATTGTAAATGAGGGGAGAAAAATATTTTTGCTTTCATCCTTACGGTAAAAAAGTTTAATTCACCATAAGTAGATAAGTTTGTGCATTCTACATGGTTTAAGCTTAAATTATTCTTGTGTGATGTCGTTCACGTGTTTCCACCTCACTGTTATTAAAGTTAACCTGAGCATCGATTTAATCAAATTATGGGATAATTAGGTTACCAGTTCAACAATAGGTGTAAATAAATCAGGTTAAGTCATACTTTTATCTAAATAGGCTAAGATTTATGTAAAACATTTCAAACATGACTTGACTTATTAGTCTAATACAAGTTAAATTATAATTTTAGTCTGATTTATTTTTAAAAAATACAAGGTTTGGTATCATGTCTTTAAAAATGGCGTATTACACTCTGTAAATTGGGAAAGATATTGTAATAACTAAATTGTGTTACTATCAAGTTACTATCAATCAATCTCACCGTTAGATCGATTATGTTGATCCAACAGTTATATTTATTTCCATCTTTGTTTAGTCATGATTTTCTAAATTTAATACTTTATATTTATTTTCACTTTTGTATGGTTATGATTTCGCATATTTAATGCTTTCACTTTAAATATGGGGAATCATAACCATACAAAGATGAAAATAAATATAATCGTTGAATCAACATAACCAGTCTAACGATGAGATTGATTGGTAGTAACATGGTAGTAACACAACTTGGTTGTTACAATATCCTTCCCCTTGTAAATCATACGTTATAGTTATTTATTTCATTTTTATATATAGGTTGATGGAGCTACAACCCAAAATATTGACAATTTAATTGCATTGCTGGAAATAAAAACAAAATAATGACAAAGATGCAGAAAGATTGGTTAAATTTCAAAACAAAGAAACATATTCACTCTCTCATGTATTACATAATCTAGATCGATTATGTTGATCCAATAGTTATATTTATTTCCATATTTGTTTAGTCATGATTTTCTAAATTTAATACTTTATATTTATTTTCACCTTTGTATGGTTATATGATTTCTCATATTTAATGCTTTCACTTTAAATATGGGGAATCATAACCATACAAAGATGAAAATAAATATAATCGTTGAATCAACATAACCAGTTTAACGATGAGATTGATTGATAGTAACATGGTAGTAACACAACTTGGTTGTTACAATATCCTTCCCCTTGTAAATCATAGGTTATAGTTATTTATTTCGTTTTTATATATAGGTTGATGGAGCTACAACCCAAAATATTGACAATTTAATTACATTGCTGGAAATAAAAACAAAATAATGACAAAGATGCAGAAAGATTGGTTAAATTTCAAAACAAAGAAACATATTCACTCTCTCATGTATTACATAATCTCAGTCAACGAAGAAAAATTTATTACAGCCACATAATTCTATATACATATATATAACCATGTAAAAAAAATATTTGAAAGAAAAAAAAAGCAAGAAATTGATTGCGTTCGTAAGTCGCTAATATAACATGTCTTATTTCCTTAAAATCAAATTCATATGAAGGTCAGAAAAGATAAAAAAAAATTTATTTGAGAGGTAAGCCTGTAGTTTGATTTCTAAATAGACCTTTTAATAAATTCAAATATGTATTATTTTTAAAACAAAACTAGTCAGGCTAAAAACAAGTCAGATTATAAACTTTTGCCAAGCTGTTTAGTCCATTTACACCCTTAAATTCAACTAATAGGTTAATGGTGTAATAATAATAGTAGCAATAGCAGGATCAATAATAATTATGTAAAATTTTTAAAAATTCTTCCTTGTCTCGGAATCAAACCGGGGTCAAGGTGTTGTTAGATATTACGTGCAACACTAACCAATTGCTTATTACTACCAATAGTTTAATTTTTGGAGAGAGTTATGTACATGAGTCAAGTCGGGTTAGATTTTTGTCCGACTCGACCCAACTTGATTTTTATAGGTTAGGTATTTTGACCCGACCCGCTTTCATTTGATCCAAGTCAGGTCTGATTTGGTTTGGATTTTGTTGAACTAGTTCAGAACCGGGTCAGATCTGACCTGACTTGGTTTCTGAAGTGGGTCAAATCTGACTTGACCCGTTTTTAACTTGGTTTTCTCACAAAATTTTGTCGAAATTTCTACGTTGCAAACGACGAAAAATTTCGTCACAAAATTATTTTTTCGTCCGAATACTTTTTGCCGAAAAGCGACAAAATTTTTTCTCTAATCAAAATTTTTACAAAAATAAATTTTTTATCAAAATTTAGTTTTCGTCAAAAGTTTTGACGAAAATGTTTTCTTCCATCAAATGTTTTAAACGAAAAAAGAATTCTGTCAAAAATTTTGACGGAA